AAAAAACTAAGAAGTGAAGGTAGTAAGCATGAATCCAAATCAACAAAGCCCAAAGTCCCAAGATGAGGCACAAGGGGGCAGAGTCAAAGAACATACAGGAAAAAACCACAAAGAGGCAGGTACAACTTGAGCAAAGCCAGGTGGCGTGCTGACTACCAGCACGATGACCGGGGCACGTGAGGAGGATATATAGGCTGAGACAAGAAGCCAGTGAGCAACAGCTGAAGGCAATGAGTGGTAATCAGTGGCTGGAGTAAAGCTGAGACAGATGAGTTGACATGGCTCAGGAACTGCTTTCAAAATTAAGGTACAGAACAGGAAGTTGCAACCCATGTGGGCTCACTTCTGACATCATCAGGGAGTTTTAAAGACTTTGAGATATTTCTATTTATTTATTTGTTCAAAACAAAACTTTATTGAATTTCCTTCATTTGCAGATCCTCCCATGCTCATGCTTAAATAGACGAGCACAATTTAAAACAGAGCCAAACCAGCAACATTAATGTCTTCAGCCCTCTGAGCCCTTTGAGTTTTTACTTTGGTAAAACAAGTATGTGCAGCCTTTAAGTAAACAAAGCAGCAATAACTCAAGTGCTAATATGACAATCATAACACACCCACCACATTCCATAAACATATGGTTGTGGGTTACATACTCTGGATACATAGTTTTTCTTTTTTTGGCCTACTTAATGTTTGCTTGTCTTCAGAAGACTCTGCCACTTGTATCTCTAGTTAGAATTAAAAGCTCCACATGGACTGGGTTCATTTCTACCTGCCTTGATCAGTTATTTTAAACCTATGCAACTGTGGATAAGTTTGAGCCAGATCAACCAATCCATCACCCGGTGATATTCATTCATTCATTCTATTTTGTTGTATATAGTATTGCACCTCTGTTTTAGCACTATAAATAAATCCACCTACTGCACCGAAGCCAGCCGCCTGGGTCTGTTCATTTCTGCTCGCTCATTATTGTGTCGAGCGATCCTAACACTTTAATGATTCTCTTAGATAGTTGGTTCAAACTAGCCTTACTGAGTATCTCTAGCTAAGTTCACCTTTGCTGCTTTAATTGATAAAACCAACTTTTGTTCAACCCACAGAAGTTTAACCCTTAAGGATAAGTCACGTTTTCTGCATCATGTGCACAGAGGGCTCTGCGTGATGCAATATTTGTCATCTGCTCAAGTCTGCCAGGACCAACTCGGATACTATGCAGATGTCTGCCTGAAACCCAAACGTTGAGTCTGCATCGACTGCCTGTGCTGCAAGTGGGTTGGCAGTACATGTAAAGTAAAGGCAAGTAAAGTGTTTATGCATCATTTGTACTGTGTATTTTCCATCTTTAGTTATTAAACAGTTACACACACAGTTTTTTCTTTTTTCCTCTTTATTACTTGATCATGTTATTCATCCAAATTCAACAAACAAAGACATTCTTTCTAGCGCACAATTTCCTGTCTGAATGTTTATTGTGAATAAAAGCAGGCCTCATCTCTGTTGGTCTGAGGGCAAGCGGAAATGATGATAGTTATAGTTTGACCTAACATCCTGAAACTGACAGTGCCTTAATAGAACTGTGGATAGTTGTTTGCAGTTGGTTAACAGGATTGGCAATTAGATGTCTCCTCTTTTTTCTGTGATGGGAGCTGCAGTTGGAGTCGCTTCAGTAACACCGTGAGTCACACTGCTGAGTGATGTGGCAATAGGCATCGTCGGTGTTGCTGCCGGGGGCATGGTCTCTACCACAACTGTGCCTGGTTGAGGAGTAAGCATGGTCCTGTTTCCCAGAGTGACAGTGGTCATGGCAGCAGTGGTCATGACAGCAGTGGTTCTGTTAGCAGTAGTCGTGGCAGCAGTGGTCATGACGGCAGTGGTTCTGTTAGCAGTAGTCGTGGCCGCAGTGCTTGTCGTTGTCACAGGCTTAATGGTAGCAACAACTTCTTCAGATGATTCCGATGAGAACTGATCTGATTCAGAGGAAAGGTGTTTGTGGTTGGGATGCTTATGGTTGACGTGATGGTACCACCTGGGTATCCTTACCGGCCCTCTCTGTCTCCTGTCACTGTGAGCGCCTTTACGACCATGACGCCAACCTCCCTGTGGATGAGTAACAGCAAACTATTTTCATTCTCTGCCCACACAGATACTGCATAAATCAAACTTTAGTTTGTGCAAATGCAACAAGTTACAGCAACATGAGAGTCCAGGCAATGTGACAAATATGATGGAGTGTCATGCAGTGTTGTGGTTAGCTCACTCGCTTAGCGGAGATTGTTGTAAGAAGAACGATGACGACAATGGTTGTCAGAAGCCTCATCTCTGATTGGTTCTGTAAAAAAGGGAAACTACAAATGAAAATACAAGTGACCAGAAAAAAGACACTGTAAGGAGTGGACAGGAGAATCAGATTTAAAATGGAAAATTACAATAATTTCTAACAGCTAATGAAATTGATATAGAAACCACTATATTTTATAAAGAGATAAATACTTGCTCACAAACCCCTAAAACATAACAAGATACACATTTACACAAAGAAATAAAAATGACAACATTCAAATAAATTCAAAAACTTACCACTTTGTGTAAGGCTAGATCTTCTTTTAAATCCTGTATAAAGTATTGGGATTGTGTGCAGCTGTGATGTGCAGCAGGATTGGCTGCTACTATATATACTGCCTGAGCAGTGAGGAAGGGAGGGGCTGAAGAGGTGGAGAAGAAGTGGCAAAGTGACTCATTTTGTTTAGTAATATACAACAGATATTTTACTGTTATATAGGGTGAGGTAGAAAAAATTATTTTAATTCATTTCCTAAAGGTCTAAAATTGGTAAAATGTCAGTTTTATCTTTTTAATTCTAAACCTACAACAAGATAAAGTGTTCAAAAAGTAAGTAAAAGTGAGTAAAAAATCAGTACATTTCCCCATAATTTACACTTTAGGTTCTCCATTGGAAATTACATTAAGGTTTGTTGTTTTGAAACACTTCATGTGTTGCTGCACAGCATGAGTTTGTTATAGTTGGCCCATTACTGTGACAGTGAGGGTGATGAGGGAAAACGCTGTGAACCTTCTATAATAACAAGAAGGAAACAAAAATATGAGTTAACACACACACAAATGAAGCACATTATATGTACAGAAGCCTGCGAGCTAGTTGCAGGCCGGTTAAGTCATTCTTTTGCTCTTGATTTTTCTCTGCCGCTCTGCTCAAATAGTGGATTCTTCTGCTGATACTGCTATACTGTGCAATGTGTGACAAGTTTTTACAATGTAACCTGAGTTTTAAAAAATCCCAGAAATCATGTGCATTTAGGACAATTCCAGATCCCAGGATTTGCATCCAATGTCCAGTGTTCAGTACCAGCACAGGAAGCAGTGTGGCCTTTATGTAGGAATACAGAAAGTAAAGTTCTGATGGTGGGTATAGTGGGTGGACAAGTAGTAGGCCTCATTTAACAAAACAGGCTGATATTTGTAATTTTTTGTAATGTTTCCCTAACATAGGTTCCATATAATAGTACAAAGAAAGGATTTAAGATATTAGATATTAACTGGGGTTATGCAGATTTGTGTTAAAGGTTGAACTAAAATTTAGCACAGAAACAGACTGACTTAGAAATGACAAATGGTAATGGTCTGAATGACATGCTGGAGACATGATGCTGCATGCAGCATCATGTCATTCAGACTGACTTAGAAATGACAAATGGTAATGGTCTGAATGACATGCTGGAGACATGATGCTGCAAGCAGACGGCCTCTGGGAGTGTCAGTGGAATTAATTGTTACTTCATCACTCGGAAACTTACCCCTCCTCTCTTCCTATATCGAAAATCACATAATCATGGAATAATCTTAAGAATGTTATGATGGGCAATTTCTTAGGCATGTTATCAGAGGGGCTGTTGGGTGGCCAGGTGGTCAGGTGGTCCTGCATTATGACAGCAGTAATACAGTACAGCTGTAGGTCTAATAACCACAAGTTTTATAATTAAAATAAATGATTAAAATTATTGTAAAATGTGTAAAATAATTAGCATTTTAATTGAGTTAGAATTATATTACAACTAGATTTAGGAAAGTACTGAATTAGTTTAATCAAGGCAATAGGAGCATTTTTTGTCAGAAGATGGCTCTAGTAATATTACACAATACTGCAAGACCCATAGTCATGATTTATTAAAAGATTACAGGGTTTATTACTCAGTAAGAGCATCAGCTGTCAAAACTCCATGAGTATACAACAACACGGGATACAAACTAAACTGGTGAAACTATATATAGATGTGTATGTACAGTATGTGTGTGTGATAACAGCCAGGACTGCAAGTTCCCTGCTTGACAATTAAAAATAAATAAATAAAAACATTATAAAATAAAATAAAAACAGTTTTATACTTATATTATGGAAAAAGACTTTAAATAAAAATAATTTTGATTTTACTAAATGATGAGAAGTACAGGTCCACACTTGATCAGTGGCCTATGAAAGTAGGCCAGTTGTAATGTAAGAAAACATGGTGCTTGTTGTTTGCCATGCTTTGCACCAAAAGGGAACTTTCTTTTAACACTGGTGATAAAATTACATCACGGCTCACTGTCATTTTTCAGTTGTGCACTGTAAATGCTGTGTGTGTATGCGGAGTTCAGGCTGGAAGCTGATAAACGGTACATTTACATCTGCACACATGACATCCGATGGATGTCCCAGTTGGATGTACAGAGGACATCCAGAAAAGATGTAACATAACCTTTCATTCACTCAGTGGACAACCTTTTCAACGTCTGCCACAGCCCTCAGGTAGACGCCCTTGGCATGTCTCTGTGTTTAGTGTGTGAACATCACAAATGTTCAAAATATTTCTGGACCAGGTGTCCAAATATCCAACCTAATGTGTATGTCTACAGATATAGAAAGGTGGTCTGTGCCAGATGACAAAATACTGAAGTTGTATTAGGCTTTCAGTAGATGTCACATCCATGTTTCCCTCGGGTGTTTGCTGGGTAGATACTTCATCCCACATATCCCTTACACATTTAATAAATATGTCCTGAGTCAGCATCATATGTGACTCAGAAAACAGTTTCAGCCACATTAAATAGACTTTAATGAGAGGCATTATGGGGAAGTGTCATCTTTGGACACTTATTAACATCACCCAACCTCAGTGTTTGCTAAGGTACAGTCCTTTACACAACAGGATAAAGTTGATCCTGTTGTGCAAAGGACTATCTGATAAATCCTCTCCCAGACTGGTGAGACAATAATTTACAAAGTAAAGTTAAACTTTTGTTCATGGTTAAACTAGAAAAACACTGAAAATGATCTCAACAGGAAACTTGGTGGTTTGGGAACTGAACCAAAGTAAATATGACCCACATGATCAAATGTTAAACTGACTCTCTATTGTGGCACAATAACAGCGTGAATTAGTGGCTATTTGTCACCTGGTGACTTTTATAGCCATAGATAAGCTTATTACTGGGGTGTAATTTCTAACGGGGAACCAGCTAGGAGACGTCCTACCCAAGATATGACCAGTCATCAGATGCCTCCTAAGTCCATAACAAAATAGATGTTCTCTGATCCAACGTTAAACTGAGTCCAAAACCTACTCACTGAGCTCCTCCTGCTTCATTTGGTTTACATGTCAACCAGCAGCAGTTAACACACCAGCTGTGCATGGGGCTCGCGACTGGTTAGCATGTGCCAAAGTTTGGCCACCGTATATCCTGCTTGTGTCATATAGATCTACAGCTGGTCACTCACAGGTTCACAGGTAAAACAGAAGGTTTAAATCCCAGCATCTCTTAAGTTAAAAGTAAAGTCGGTTTCTGCTGCTGATTGTCACATCTGTTTGTCTCCATGACCCCTCCTGGAGATGATGCACTAGTTTGTCAGTCTGGATGATCTGAGTTTCATTCTGTCACTTGTCTTCTGTAAAGAGGGTCTGTGTTCTACACTAAACTGTGTCGCTGGAACTAATGCAATTTTGAAAAGCAGTGGATGTGCACATCACCGTACTATTGGTAACAGTGACTGATACACAGTGACTCATGTCCAGCCAATTCAATCTGGTTTTGTAGACAGTGTTGCAACAGTATTAAAGCTCCAGCATCATTAATGGCATCATTTTTGCCATATGGAGCATTTACTGTGGAGAACTGAGGCGTGGATTATTTTCAGTGGCTTATTGGTGGATTATTATTTCCAGTACAGGAAGATGTGGTTTTACATGTGTTTGTACCAGAACAGTGAGGTGATTGGGGTCAGTGGACAGTAACAGTAAACACCTCCTATCCTGTGCTTAAAGTCACAAATGCCAGGATTTGACAAACTCTAAACCTCTAAAGGACGGCTTAGATAAAAAAATTGGGAATTTTTACAGTGTCTGTTCATGGAAACAAAGGCATGGCTTCGGTTTGGTTGGGCAAATAATCCCACCTGGCCCAGGTTAAGCAAATATCCTTTTTTCCTTTAATATTAAAAATATCAAACGTGTCTTGCAGTGTGGGCTGAGATCAGTAGCTGTACGTCCTAGTGTCATGAATATCTGTTGTTTAATGATGGGCTGCAAACACTCAGACTGGGTGTAAGAACAAACCGAGTGAAACATTAGACAAAGCATAGGGTACATTCAGACACCTGTTGCATCTATCCTTTAAACATGTCCATGTCCCTATGATCAGCCAAAAATGTGGGTGCTCCAATGGTTTTATGATTCTGAAGTAGAATAATGGAACGTTATTGTACATAACTCAAATATGGAATTATTCATCTGACAAGATACCTCACATTAGAGGATGTATAATAGTAGTCCATGTTGCTGGCCAGACAACAGAGGTCAATTGGAACTATGATTGTTAATCATTTTAATTATGATTTTTATGGAAGCAGGTTTCTGTAATAATCTTACTGAATACCAGGAATAGCTCTTTTAATGTTGAGTGCTGAAGACGCAAGCAAAATGAAGCACAAACCAGTTCAGATTTAAGTGCACATACTGTAAAATAATTACTAAAACAACAGTGACTAATGTTAAACATTACAGCTACCAAAATAAATAAGCAAATATAAAATAAAAAGGTATAAAAATACAAGGACAGGGTGAGTAAATACTTGAACAGGTGAGCTGTCATCAAGTCTAAGTATTTGTCTGTGTTTGTACCTGATGATCTGCTGGTTTGTCAGTTTTGCCTTTGAGCACTTTTCAAGACCAGTAGATGGCCATGATCACGATACAACAGTATAATATCTGGATGTATTTGTTTTAATCCAGAACTTGCATTTGAGGACGTTTGTCTTGTCACCCACTTTAAACACAGAAGTATGCTTTGGTTATTTGTAAAGAATCATGCTTTTCAGAGTCTACATGCAGCCCAGAATTTCCAAATCAAGGCATATCTCTCTGTCTAGTATCATCTTACTATCTATCTAGCTCAAAACCAATAAGACTCTTTTTAAAGACAAACTTTCTATCCATTTTTTTTTTTTGCCTTGAGAAGATTAAACTTCTGAATGTACAGCAAATGTGATATCAGGGAAATACCACAAGGATCAGATGAAGTTTTGTGATTTCAAACTTAGTTACTCTTCTCAAGATATTTCAAATACTTCAAATGT